CGATGTGGTGGTGTCATTCAGCCAACTATGCGGTTTTACATTCGTCATTCTTAGCGGCAAGTAAATTTTGCAATTTTTATAGAAACGTCTTCATTGAAGCACGACAGAAATGGCATATGTGAACAAATTCCCTGCTCCGCATGTCGAAACCACGCATCAATGAGGTCGTATTTGACTCTCACAGAGGAGAGGGGGGCAAGGCACATCATAAGTTGGGATTTTGGTAAAAATCAACTATCAAAAACAATTTTTCTCAGACCAATACGACCACCCTCCCTGTTGGAGTCCCAACGATGATGTGCCCTCAGAGGGGAGGGGCGCACTTGGCGACACCTTCTGAAATGTGGTTGAATTTTCCAGTTTGAGAAGCGGTGAGACAACTTTACTATGACGGTGTGAAGAAAGTCCTTGCAATTTTCGGCTATCCATTCCGAATGCCACTCTCTACGTTACCTTCTGTGGCGTTACTCTTATGTTCCATATCACTTCGAAGCGTATTTCTCGCTCTATCCCATCCTTCGATCGACTTTGTTTCGGCGTGAATTATCTGCTTTTCGGATGGTTGAAACGTAGCACATATTCGCATTCTGCTATTCCAATTTGAATCGGACAGGAAAGCTGGGGAACATCTTGGGGTCGACAAAACCTTTGACTAAGGGCCACTGAATGAGTTATAACAGCGGCAGTAAAAGAAATTTCTTACCGGCCATATGAAATTGAAAGGGAGCCGTGAAGATGATTAGCCTGGTGACCATCAGATTTTGACAACCAACAATTGAGAGCACTGTTCAAAAAGAATCGCGTGCCGTCATGAAGGATAATGCGTCGGGGTTGGATGTCTCAAGCAGGATGGTTTGTACCCACATGCAGATCGGAAAATCGAAGAAGCTGATGATGGGTGCCGCAGGAACTGAGGCTACCAGAAAGATCGTGGCCCAGATCTCACTTTGTACTATTTACCGCAATAGAAGCCACCCATTTCTAGATTCCAATGATGTGGGGTGAGGATTGGATTATATGAACGATAACCCTGGCCAACGACCTGGTCAGGTGGGCCGGAGCAAGAATCAAGCTCTTAACCATTTCTCTAAGGCTGATGCAGGGAAGGGAAAGTTAGGTAAGGCGATTCAGGTGGGGGTCTAAGCTGGCCCGCACCCACAGCCTGGATCGGGTTGTTATGTTTTCTACTTATTTTTTATTGATGATTTATCGGGCCACCGACACGAGCTGGAAACAGTGTCGAGAAAGCGCCAAGGTATGACCGATTCAACCTTAACACGCACAACTAACTGGGTAGCCGCCAACATCGCACACCGTTACACTGAAGAAGTTGAAACGAGATCACCTACAAGAAACTTTCCCCCACCATATTTGGCAATCTAGCTCCTACAGTCTATCACTTTTTCAAAGATATCGGCACTTTACTGCAATTCGAGGAAACTGTTTCAAAAGCCACATGACGCTGCGGCGGCATACGCCGACTTCATCGCTTCCGGACTAGAAATTGGGATATCCACGCCTTCTCCTCATATGCGAAACTCTGCTCACACTATGATCTTACCTTAATAGGGATTTGTTTTACCCGAGATAGGCCCATCCGAAATTCGAGGTCGAAGGGCGCAAAAACTCTCTTTGCGGCCCAACACCTTGGATTCCATGTCTATCACAGATTTCTTCGTATCAAGGCTTTTCGCAACGCCCTCAATTACGTTTCTTAGTTAAGTGTCAATAAAAAAAATTGTGTGAGAACCCGGTAATGGGCTCGATGATGGATAAAATCCAAAAACACTCATGAAAACTTAGAATAATTATCAAACACGTCGTTGAAATTGGACGTTTTGCCTGATATATTCAATGTGAATTCGCCAGCAGAATTAGGCGGCGGTGGCGCGAGTCCAAAATGCCTCAGTTTGAACGTCACAAACTGTCAAGTGCTTAAACCCCGCAAAAGTGGAACTCGATATCTGTGTATTGCAAGTGTTACAGAAATAAGGTCAGGTTAACCTTTTTAACCACAAGGTGCGCGGCGAGCCCGGTGGTTTAACACGGTGGATTATGGCATAAGATGGCCGGAGAAGGAGAATCGTGCTGGACTAAACTTCCACGGAATGTTCATGAGTACAGGCCTGGTGTTTTTCCAAGGAGAAGGTAAGGAGCACTAGAAGTATTCAGTACGACTTTTAGTAAGCACAAGTTTATCGAATTCACCAAAGCTCCTAAGAGTTCGCCTTACGATACCTTGAGAGCGACTTTTCAACCTCATTCAGAGTAAAATGTTTTTCCAGCGCTTCTTTCTTATCGAATGTATCGGTACGACTGTAAAATCCTGTCGAAATTTGTTCATGTTGTATTTCACGTGTTGGCGATCGCATTCTTCACCACTGCTTTCGCTGCTATTATCATAAATAAAAATCTGCACGTGAGTCGGAACTTCGTTTCTATAATGTTTGTATGATTGCTGAAATCTCCACATAACAGGTAATGATGGTCATAGAGTCCAACAGATTAGTTTTTCACAAAAAGCAGAATTGCTGTGACGATTAGGAGCATACTGCTCCCGAATAGGCGGACAAAGCTCTTAACTCACGTCGCAATGCGAATGGATGCGTTCCAGTCGGTTCCAAGAAATGCTAGCCTAGCAGAGGGGCGAATAACCGGGCACGCATTCCACTTCCATTTAGAATCATGATGGCTTATTGAATGCGATTTGGCCTTTGCTATGAGTTGTGAGGTCTAACGCCAATGCGATAAAGTAAGTGTTCTATCCTCTCAGACAAAATCGTGGCTCCACATTGCCGAAGGGCTGGTTGATCTGGCGGCAGCCGATCCAGGATTTGTCTCCGGACCGCGGAGTAGTAAGCGTACATGTTGTCACTGCAACACCTCCACCTCAAGACTTGAAGACCAATATTTAACAGGTGGAATCCACTCCTGCGTTTACGAATGACACGGCTGCATATGATGCCTAACTTCTACTTGAAAGGATGTCTAGTCCAACTACAATTCTGTCGCTCACTGTTCTCGGCTCGATCCGCTTGCCATCTCTGTTCAGACCACCAGTCCATGAGCGTGGCTTCACTGCCCGAGTAGCCATCAAAATTACATGCTTATAAAATAAATACGTTTATTCGGCGGTGATTGAATAGTATCAGTATCATTTTCTAGTATCAGTATTTCATTTTCGTCTGCAGCAATATAAGGTCCATTCCGTGATGATCGTGTGGGCGGAGTCAGCCTGACCATGGTGTCCCTCTCATTGGACCGCCCTTACTTATATAGAATAGGCGATGAGCTGCGCGACCAAACATGGAAGAAGCCTGCATCCGGCCCTATGACTGTTCACTTCAAATGATAATTGGCGTAAAGACATCGCGCTCCGGCTTCGGATTGACTTTAGTCTAAAGCAAAGTAAGCCAGCCGGCGTCCTTAGGGGAAACTGAAACACCGGCGTATACGCGATCACATTCAGTTGTTTAACGAAATACAGCTGCGAGTGACCCCTGAGCGAGGACGACAGCGGTCCCAGAAATCGCTGCTCGTCTTCCTAGGCAGACTAAAGACACGGCTCAGTAGTTAAGGTGTTGAAAGTGCCCGAGACCAAATATGTGCCAGTTAAGTTTTTATCACAGTCGTTTGAAGCACAGGAAATAGCGCAATTACGACCCACCTGTCTCTTGGATACAGAGTGTGTCGTGACGAATTCTCGCTAGCAGATAACATTTCAAATTTGCGATATCATTTCTCCCTTCATCACGTCACTCTCCTACAAGCCACTTCTGCATATTTCTTATCTTATCACAATAAATAACAATCCTCTTTTGCCACAAAATAGGTGTCACTCAAGACCACGCCCGATGGGCGTTCCCTTGTGCCTCAAAAGAAGGAAGTGTAATTCACTAGGCCTTTTGCCATGCACTTTCAAGTCTCACAAAATCGGTACAATAATCTGCAACTGCTGCTCAGTGCACGCGGAAAGAATCATTGGGATGGTGAAATCGTGCAATGCGCCTGTGAAAGCAGAATTCGCCGACTACGTTACTAGTATACTGTTACCTTGATGGAATGGGGATGGGTACCTTCAAAATAATGTCTTATTCGAAAAAGTAGTTCGTAGTTGAAATAACTGCATATTTGACGCTGTTTGGCGACGGGGGGCATTTTGCATTTTTACGACTTCCCATCTAGACAGCCTCTTCTCGAGTTGACAGGTTTTACCATGATGGCTTGACGAGCTTGCTCCAGCTTCACAAGAGTTCACAGGTTTCACCAGAGTGAGACTTGTAAACCAGAACTAGTGAAGCAACGAAAGTGCAAAATGCTTCCCCCTCCCCGTCGGCAAACTGCCCCTGCATATTTAATAGTCCAATACCTGATGTATGAGTTCAGGATTTGAGCCACTTCACCTCCGTTCACAGCTGGATCGGCATCGGTGTGATGTTCTTATACACTGTCCAGGTTGGTTCACTACAACCACTAGGTTATATCAAAAATTATAATCATCAATCAATCAATCATACTTGAAGTTATCAAAAATTCTCCTTCGAAGCGTTCTGCAAAAACGGCTTTATCTTGAAACTCGGAATGGGTTATATCTTTCGGAGCACACATAGTTTGAATGTTGACGTTTGTAGACAACTGTTAGCTAACGATTTTTTTATACAGAAAACTCGGAAATCTTTCAGTGAACCTCTCACACTTGCGATAAATGGGAACTGAGCACTCTTCTTCGTCTCATTAGCGTTAGTCCCGCGCCATCGCGGGGCCCCTCAAATGGGCAAATGGGAACTGAGCACAGAGGCACTGACTGAGTTCTCCTTGGGACGCACCACATACACTCACATTCTAGTGATGAAGTGGGCGTGGCTGCCTACTCTGATTAACGTATCGTAGGATGCGCTGCTCTTGGACGATTCCATTTGGTACAAGTGTTGCCCTTTCTTGTACTGATCGAAGCCATGATTGCAACTGTTCTGAAACCGCGACATCCCTCCAAAAGCGCAGCACATCCAAATGAAGTACACAGCCATGCACTCTCCATTTCCGGGATATGAAGTGTAGACAACTCCCGTTGAATGTCCGTTAGCTGCATCAATCATCAGTCTCATTACACTGTATATAAGCAATGAATTCACTTGCACAGCGCTCTATGGTGAGACGGAATACCTGTTGCAGAGTCCGACGAACGGAGCCAATGCTCTATTCTCGTCCTCGCTACCGCATCTGGGAGGATCCCTCCTCACCCAGACATAACACTCACGCACACATCGTGGGATTTTTTGAACATAACGCTTAATGCTGCCTAAATGTCGTAGGTTTACACCAAGTCTGCTAGAAAATTGCGCTCCAGATCAAGGGGAGCCTTCCATCCTTCCACGGTCGATAAAGGCATCCCTTAGGCGTAATTTTTTCCTCATCAGCAAGTCTGAGTGAAAGCGACATACCATACTCCACATCAACATAATAGTTTTGTTCTCTCTTCAGTATTTCATCTACAACAGGCCCAAAGAAGCCGCACTGGAGGCTTACGAGGAGGGGCACGCAGTGACCCGTCCCATGTCAAGTATCAGAGGCCCCTCTGACGGGAACATTACCGATGGAGGTGACAGGAGTGATAATCAGCTGATAAGCATCTGGATAAGACGCGCGTCAGTATAGGTCGACCAGGTCAACGCAGTTCCACTACGTAGCAGACACACGTCAACAGTGGGGCGTTGACGCTCCCTACGTATCGACTACTACGTGCGCTGGACACCTTCCGCTCTTCGCGGCCCTGATTGTCTTCATTGTAAGTGGCACTCCCGATTGAAACGCTACACACCGCGTTCTACATGCAGTGCGTCGATACGGATCTACGCTCCCATCCCAATGTCCGGGCCCTCTCCAGTCACACATTGCGGTAACGTCACCATACTCAGAAAGCGGCACACAGCACCAACTAGGCCTACAGGAGGTGATTACAGCTGATAGGGGATGATAAGGAACGTTGTCATTGTTGTTGCAGTCAAATTGCTAGAGCCTTTACACTACCAAATTATAGAAGTTTTAGCCAGTGCAAGTCGTAATGGCACAATTGATGAACGCTGACAGCATATCTTATCAAATATGATGCAGGAATCGATAGGGTCGAGCCTTCTACACAACATCCTCTTTCATCACCATGGTACTGCCCAAATATTGAAGGCTCAGGATCCATAACGTTATCCTCTTTGCCCCATCAACTTCTCTGAAACCCAGCGGAGTCATAGAAAATGAAGCCTCTCTTCACCCCATCCTAGCCCTCCATAATGTCGACGTGTGCCCCACTTCTGGCTGCGAGGGTCGGGGGGTCCGGCCGAGCCGGGCCACTCCCCCCTGCCCCTCTCGACGCACAGCTGGCGGGTATGTAGTCTCCGCCTGGAACGAGGAAACCTCAGGGAAAATGTCGAGGAGAGCACTCAGAAAAAACGCACTCATGAACCGAACAACGCCTGCTCGGCCATGTCTCACCCTCATGCGTATTAATATCTCCTTTTACTATGAGAACGATTAACAAAGGCCGACTACAAATTGTATCTATATCTACAGATCTCTGTATTGTACGGGCGTTATGGCGCTGACCACACCCCTGCTGCAAATAGAAGCGTGTGCTCAGTAGTGCAGAATCCCTAAGCCTTGCTCTATCTGCTGCGATTCAATCACTACAGCGCCGTATGAGCAGCCCACCATTGAAAAGTTCCCTTAAAATTATGGAGCGCGCCTGGCGAAGCCAGGCCAGCTCGGCGAAGCCGAGCTAAAGAGAAGGAGGAGAGCTCGGCGCGTCAGCCGAGCGATCCGACTGGTTACTATATATGCAAGATACACATTATTCTATTGGGTGCGGGCAGGAGCCTCGCCAGAAGAAGCTGCAGAAGTCAAGTTGCGCGCACGGATGTGGGAGGATAGACCCTCGGTTGTTCTCGCTTTCTTAGAGGTTCCCTTGGCGAGGGACCGCTTTGTTGCAACTGAAGCGATTTTGAGACCGAAAACCACGGCGGAGGAGTTATTCGCTCCAGTGGAACTACAGCGAAACAGTAATGTTTTGAAGGCGGGGGGAGGAGACCTTTCCTTTCAAACATCTGTATAGGACATTGCTCTACGTGTGTCTGAACGGAGATATGTCCATCAAGGGTCGAAAAGTTCGCGTCTGCCAAAAAATATTCCGCGTTAATTTTCGACCAAAGCCATCATGCAGCTAGACGATTGTTGCAGTGTTTTTTTTGGGTAGATGCACTCCCTTCTTGGATAACCTTTCAGACCGGACAGTTTCCCACGATACGGTGCCTGACCCTACACACCTGGGCGGCCGGCGACTCACTCTGTGCAGGATTTTGCTTAGATGTCGTCTCGTACTGCGGATTGTCAGTCATTTCTACTTCTTTATCAAGTTACTCTCATACGAGCCACTGCTA